TAATTTCGCCTGGGCGGCGCGGCACCATCCATCCATCGCAGCCGGAGCCGCTAGCTCTCCAGAGTTCCTCCGCCTGCACCGGCTGAGTGAAGCGAGCGTGCAGGCGGAAGAAGATGTTTAGGTTTAACGGCAAAACAGATGAAAAAAATCTTCTCTAAATGAGCAATTTTAAACAAAATACAAACCTTTGGCTGTAATGATTTTTTATTTTCACTTCATGGTACAAAGCACCAAAAAACTTTTTTGATTTTTAACAGAAAGGAAACTTTTGGATAATTATTCATAAAACTTGGCTAAATTGAACAAATTGCAGTTGATATAACCAATAGAGGGAAACTGGATACTTTTTAAATTGATATAAAGTGACATCATCTACATACCAGTTGATCAACTTTTATCAGTGTCCCTTCAAACCTTCTATGAATGTGTTGTAGCGACCGACAGCTGGATGCATTTTGATAACTCCCATCAGCCTTTTGGGCCGTCCATGGTCCAAAAGGCTGATCCACCCCATTTTAAAAGGGCACTTACTCAAATTGTGCTTAGGTTGCAGAGAAACGACTAAAATGAACTTAACAAACATAAGAAAACAACAAACAGACCCAACAAATCAAATAATTTAAGTCGTTTTAATTAAAAATATAAGGTTAGTGTTTAATATGCATTTAATGTTTTGGATCTACAACAATTAAAAACTCTTTCTCCACCAAAATGAGTAAACTTTTAACTTTTTTCCAAAGTAATTCTCACTTTAAGAGTTGAATTCACGTTTTTGTGGCCCACGAGTGCTTTCATCTTGATAGTTTTGGCACAGATAAGAAATAGGACAACCCTGACATAGATCATCAATTAAAGTGAAGAAAATTATAAATTAATGTATAAAAACACACATTGATATATAAAACACAGTGCAAAGCAGTACTTTAGGTATAGAATAACATTTAATCACAGTTCTCAGCCTTCAGGAGAAGGTTCGCTTTAGGGTGTAGGGAGGGAGGCTCAGACTGTGGATCCTCAGATTCAGAAGGATCAGTGAGGCGTCTGTTCTGGTCCTGGTCCTGGACCAGGTCTTCACTAGGCCTGTCATGATAAACAATAAATCAATTAATCGCATGATAAATGAAAATTATCGACCTCATTTTCATTTATCTGCTTTATCGTTTCTTCGTGTCTCTCTCTTTCTACTGAAGACACTGGATGATAAAAGGCTCAACTCCGGTGCTCTTCACTGACCCCGCCCTTTCTCTTTAATCTTTAAAATCTGTTTTAATCGTCCAAAATCGCGTTTTTGGATCGTTAAAAGCAGCTAAGCTGAGAAGCTAAGCTACGAGCTAAGCTAACAAGTCGACCTCAGGAAAAAACCTCCGTCTTGTTGAAGCTCCAGAATTCACGGTTGAAAGTCGTGCCTTCATGAAAAAAGTTGTTTTTCTCTGCAAAAAGAAGCTGAGAACTTGTTTACTGATTTTTTTCAATTAAAATCTTTGTGTGAAAAATGCTAAAGAGCTCAAACCACAACGAGCGTCCGCCATTTGGAGAACCAAAAAAAAAAGGAAGGTGAGACAGCCCATGTTGCGTCAAGGGGCCTCCCTCCCATTTTTCTTAGAGACACGCTGCTCACTCCCTCACTATCCATCCTTCGGTTCAAACAGTCTTATACTGACATCCGGTGGTCGAAAAAAGGTACTACACCCAAATCAAATTAACAAACTTTATTTTCTTAAATTTGACAATAATGACTAATTATAGCCAAATTTCAAACAATATTATTGTTTATCGCAATAATTACTGAGACAATTAAATCGCCCAGCAAAATTTGTTATTGTGACGGGCCTAGTCTTCACTCTTGCAGAGTTGCTAAAGGGGTCATGAGAGTTTGGTTCTGCAGTCTACACATGGTTTGTGGATGTGAAGAAGGCTGATGACCTTGTTCCTCTGTGAGGGAGGACTGTGGGAGGATGGGGCTGTCCAGTCCCTGTAGAACCAAAGCCGGATCTATGTCCGTGTCCTCAGCACAAAGTTGAGCTGTTCTCGGTGCCAGGGCTGTCCCTGGTCTCTGATCCAGGTCCAGGATCTCAGAGGGGAGAGTGACTGGTTGGAGAACCTCAGGCTCTTGCTTCTGTTTTATGCAGATGATGTGGTTCTGTTGGTGTCTTTGGTTCACGACCTTCTGGATGCACTGAGCCGGCTCCTCTGAGTCTGAGGTTGTGGTTCTCTGCTGAAAATGGGTGGAACGCCTCCTCCGGGTCAGCAAGGGAGTTTTTACTTCAGGTGGAGGGGTTCAAGTAGGATGGAGATGGATCAGCAGACCAGAACGTCATTCGCAGTAATGAGGGTGTTGCTTCAGTCAGTTGTGATGAAGAATGAGCTGAACTGGTTTACTGGACCGGTTCGTCTGCGTTCCAAAACTCTTCCGTGGTCATGAGGTTTGGCTCATGACCGAAAGAACGAGATCCTGGATCCAAGCTGCTGAATTGGGTTTCTTCTGTCGATGGTTGGGCCCCCGGCTTTAGAGATAAAGTGAGGAGCTGAGAGTGGAGCCGCTGCTCCTCTGCATCAAAACGAGTCGGCTGAGATGGTCTGAACTCTTGATTAGGATGTCTCTTGTCTGGTTCTGGGGCGTCACTAATGTTCAAGTCATTTTTTTTTTGTCTCTCTTCCATTCATTTCTTTGATATTTACATTTCTGAAGCAAACAAAGTGTTGGGTTGTGATTCTTTGCTTGACTTTAAAGACGTTGGATCAAACCGTGTTGTTTTTGAACGTCCCTGACTTGACTGTGTTCAGGGCATGTCAGAGACCTTCTCCACTCTTCATGGTTTGGTGAACAAAGGAGTAAAGGTGGTGATGGACATTCCCTACGAGCTGTGGAACGAGACGTCCGCAGAAGTAGCCGACCTTAAAAAACAGGTATTTTCCAAAGCGTGCACATTTAATGTCACCGTTGACTGTTTTAACTCTCGCTGGCACTTTGTTGTCATCAGTGTGATGTGATGGTGGAGCGGTACGAGGAGGTGATTGAAGACTGGTACAAAGGAAACCAGGAGGAAGACCTGACCACCTATCTGTGTGAGAAACATGTTCTTAAAGGAGGAGACACAGGTAAAACAGGAGAAAATCCACACATATTCTGTCAGGGCTACGTTTTTACACAACAGGCTACAGTAAACTGGTCGTCACCTGGTCGTTAACGAGATTTAAATGAAAGATAAATACAACCAGGAGTTTGAAGTCAGAATTGTTTCAAATGCTCCTGTAACCTCACAGTAACTTTACTGCCCTCTAGTGTCCTTTAGTTATAAAAAAAAACAATTCCATTGAAATTATTGTAAATTAGAGCCCGACCGATTTATTTGTAGGGCCGATATAGCTGTTTGGGGACATATCGGTATCGGTGATGATTGTCCTATTATGTGCCGATATAAATTCTAGTTTTTATCCTTAAAATTCTGGGAACCAGCCGTAATTGTACAATGTGTCCAGCAGAGGGAGCAAAAAGACTGCTTTCAAGTCATGGCCGTTCGCTTAAGTTTCACTTTCACATTCAGCACAGACGAAGTAGGGAGCAATGTGCAATGTGTGAGATTTTTGTTAATGAAAAGCGCGTTACAAATTAAAATCATTATTATTATTATTATTATTATTAATGTTGTGTAGCGTATTTTACTGAACAGACCATGATAAGTTTATTTTAACTGATCTGTAAAAAAAAAAAAAAAAAATCATTAATAATAAATTCTCTTCAATCCTCCAACCCGCTTGTCATTAGCTATGTGCCTCTCAAGTTAGCAAGCTAACGTTTAGACAACCTAGCATAGGATATTGCCTTATAAAACTTTATCCAGAACAATAAATGTAACGTAGCGGTAAAAATCATCAGTGTTAGTCACATGATCTTTGTTGCCCTCAATGAAATGTTTGTCTGAAATCTTTACTTCTCTACAAAGAAAAAGAAAAACTCTGCTGTCGTCAGTACTAGTTAGACCTTCACCGTACATGGCTGACTGTTTAAACAATGATCAGGAAGGTGTTTCTTTGTTCTCTCTCGTGGCTCAATGAGACTACCTGTATAAATAAAGGGTAAATGAAAAAAAATAATAATAATAATTTAACCCACCTGATAACTTTATGGTGAATAGTGGAGGATAGAAAATGTGAACGCACGTTAGGAAGACTGTTTCAAGACTTCAAGAGTTAAAACAGGTTTAAAAGTTTCTGTTAACATAGATTGTTGGGGACGAACAAAGCTCAAAAACTTTCAGCCAATATATCGGTTATTGGCATTGAGCCTTCCCCGCCCAGTATCGGTATCGGCAATAATCAAAATTTCCATATGGGTTTGGTCTGTTATAAATGCATTTTTTTACTCTGTATTTATCATGAAATAATGTATTAATTTCAGTAAAGTTATTTTATTTTATCTCTACCTCTATAGACGAGGCTGAAACTTACTTGAAAGAGGTGCGTTTTTTTCGCAGCTGGATGTTTCTACCGAGTCGCTCCTCTCGTCTCAATCAACGTAATTGTTTCATCTCGAACGTAAAGTGCAAAAACACACGTGCTTTTTGCACGAGTGTGCATTCAGTCCAAAAAACAGATTGACCAAAAGCAAGGCACCGTTTGTGAACAGAAGCAGCTCAGTGGTCAACTGATTCAGTAAAAGTAACAAAAATATGTAGAGGAAATAATTGTGTTTTTATTTTAAACTAAAGTCAAGTCAGATTTATTTATAGAGCACATTTAAAACAGAAACTGTTACCAAAGTGCTTGGTAAAGCCCGTTAGGAAGATAAAATATAACAAAACCATATTCATTTAAATTTGATGTTTTTATTTCAGATTGAGATAGCTGTAAAAGATCAACTAGTTAATGTGTAAAAAAATAGATAAATAAACACACGTAAAAATATATATATATTTTAAGCAGTTAAATAAAATGGTTAATTATAACCCTAAGAAACAGTTATTGTCATAAAGTTCAAGACCTTGTGAGGGTTGTGTTCGAGGAAAATATCCTTTATTTATCTCATTTACGCAAAGGAGCTTCTACAAGGAGAGAAGATTCTGAACTGGTTTTACTTGCAAGGATGAATTTTCAGGACAGGTTACACAGACATACAGGAAGTACACACAGATATACAGGAAGTACACACAGATATACAGGAAGTACACACAGATATACAGGAAGTACACACACATATACAGGAAGTACACACAGATATACAGGATGTACACACACATATACAGGATGTACACACACATATACAGGAAGTACACACAGATATACAGGAAGTACACACAGATATACAGGAGGTACACATACAGGAAGTACACACAGATATACAGGAAGTACACACATATACAGGACGTACACGCACATATACAGGAAGTACACACAGATATACAGGAGGTACACATACAGGAAGTACACACGCATATACAGGAAGTACACACACATATACAGGATGTACACACACATATACAGGAAGTACACACAGATATACAGGAGGTACGCACACATATACAGGAAGCACACACACATATACAGGAAGTACACACACATATACAGGATGTACACACAGATATACAGGAAGTACACACACATATACAGGAAATACACACACATATACAGGACGTACACACACATATACAGGACGTACACACACATATACAGGAAGTACA